TCTTAGGAACCTTAAGTGCAGCAGAATTTTTTTTGTAACCTTGGCCAGATCTGTGCCTTGCCACAATTCTGTCTCTGAGCTCTTCAGGCAGTTCCTTTGACCTCATGATTCTCATTTGCTCTGACATGCACTGTGAGCTGTAAGGTCTTATATAGACAGGTGTGTGGCTTTCCTAATCAAGTCCAATCAGTATAATCAAACACAGCTGGACTCAAATGAAGGTGTAGAACCATCTCAAGGATGATCAGAAGAAATGGACAGCACCTGAGTTAAAGATATGAGTGTCACAGCAAAGGGTCTGAATACTTAGGACCATGTGATATTTCAGTTTTTCTTTTTTAATAAATCTGCAAAAATGTCAACAATTCTGTGTTTTTCTGTCAATATGGGGTGCTGTGTGTACATTAATGAGGAAAAAAAATTAACTTAAATGATTTTAGCAAATGGCTGCAATATAACAAAGAGTGAAAAATTGAAGGGGGTCTGAATACTTTCCGTACCCACTGTATATATATACATACATATACATATATTTTTTACTCAACAGGTGCTGTTTGAGACTCTGATGGTATTAGGGGCTCAGTGTAGGTGGGCAGCCTGCAATATTTATTCCACTCAGGATGAAGTGGCAGCTGCTTTAGCAGAGCAAGGTAAAAGAAACTCGTAGTCTAATTGTCACAAATTTTTAAAGTAAAAGACTCAGATTTGAGTTTTTTGCATGTGATTATTTACCTTTGATTTCTCCCTTGTCTTGCCCTCTGGCAGATTTTCCAGTGTTTGCATGGAAGGGAGAATCTGAGGATGACTTCTGGTGGTGTATTGATCGCTGTGTAAATGTGGAGGGCTGGGAGCCAAACATGGTACGAGTGCCTTAAGTGATATGGGACCACTTTCCCTTTAAGGATCAATAGTGTCTCTTATCTTGTCTGTTTTCACCTGTGAATAGAAGTTTGTTAATGGTCTTTTCTTCTTTAGATCCTCGATGATGGAGGAGATATGACACATTGGATATACAAGAAATATCCTCACCTCTTCAAGAAAGTCAAGGGTATTGTTGAAGAAAGTATCACAGGCATTCACAGGTTGAGTCACTTTCTAATCCTCGTTATTTGTCACATTTGGTGGAAAGATGATTACACTGAATTGACACTAGGGTGTTCACACAATGAAACTTTGCAAATGTTTTTGCATCACATATATCAGGCTTCATCACCTCTCTAAAGCTGGAAAACTATGTGTGCCAGCCATAAATGTGAATGACTCGGTCACTAAACAAAAATTTGACAACCTCTACTGCTGCAGGGAGTCCATTCTAGATAGGTAAGATAACAATGCAAGTATTTCTCCATTAAAGCACAGTATTTATATGATTAAACCTACTTTCTGTCTTGTTCCTATTCTCTCAGTCTTAAAAAGACCGCTGATATCATGTTTGGGGGAAAGCAGGTTGCTGTATGTGGATACGGAGAGGTACGTCTCCTGATTCAAATAAATGATGGTTTCTATTGTCAGTATGCCACTTGAGAACAGTGTCCGTCACCTGCCATCTGTTTTGTGTGCGTAAGTGTAAATATTGGTGCCCACAGGTGGGAAAAGGTTGTTCTGCAGCTCTGAAAGCGATGGGGTCCATTGTGTACATAACCGAAATCGACCCCATCTGTGCTCTACAAGCATGGTAAGATATTAGTTATCTGAAAAACTCTCCATAAAGTTATATTTTCCACAGTATCACCCCTGACAGCCAATTGTATTTCGACTAGCATGGATGGCTTTCGATTGGCCAAACTAGGTGATGTTGTAAGACAAGTGGACATGGTCATCACCTGCACAGGCAAGTTGTGCAATATCCTAAATAAAACACAAGCCTTTGTTGTACTATTGCCTTACACTGTTTGCTTTGACAGCTGACCGTTTGTCTCTACACAGGTAACAAAAACATTGTTGTGAGGGAACACATGGACCTAATGAAGAATGGCTGCGTTGTCTGCAATATGGGACGCTCCAATACAGAAATCGATGTTGTAAGTGGCTGTAGGACACGATATAACACACGATTAGTGATGACAGTTGAATGCTTGCAGTTTAATTGGTCGCATTTCTTGTCATTTGTCTGAACTTTCAGAACAGTCTGAGAACCCCAGAGTTAGTATGGCAACATGTGAGAGCGCAAGTGGATCACATTATTTGGCCTGATGGCAAGAGAATAGTACTCCTTGCAGAGGTGAAAAAAATTAAACATATTCACCTTATTTTTCATCACGTTAGGAAGCTATTTCCTGTAAATGTGCAAGATTTCTGATTCATTATCCACTAACTGTAAATCACTAGAAAAATAACAAAATGCAGTAAACGGTAAAGCTATTTGTGCTACAAACTAGTGCAAACCAATGGATTTAGGAAGATGTCCTACATTTGTAAATCAAGTTAAGCTATAATCTACATTTCCTCATTACAACCCTCATGGCTTATTGGTCATTAACGTTAGTGGCAAAGTTATTGTTTTACCCTGTTTGATTCCAGGGCCGTGTTCTTAATCTAAGCTCCTCCACTGTACCCATATACGTGCTTTCCATCACAGCCACCACACAGGTATGGAAGCAGTTTGCTAATACATTAATTTAAATGAGTTTTTAAGTTGGTAGCCTAAAGGCTAAAGTTCTTCCACTTTTACTTAAACATTAAAGACTAGCTGGGCAGAGCAATAAAACTTTTAAAAGAACATTTGCATTTAGTACGACACAATGTAAATGGAAGCATGACAGCCTTGGGCCATATTGGATTTGAAATTATTTTGTGGATAGTGAACGGATAGGTTGTCTCTTCAAATGTGTTGACATGTTTAGTTGTCTGTATACTTTTTGAAAGGCTTTGGCATTGATCGAGCTATTCAATGCTCCTGAGGGCCGTTACAAGCAAGATGTCTATCTTCTTCCCAAGAAACTGGGTAACAATGCAATGGACTTCCAGAATTCAATATTGTTCATCCATATTTCATAATGTACCAAATCATATTTGGATAAAATGACATCACAAACTGATTCACTATTTTGTATACCAGATGAGTATGTTGCAAGCCTGCATCTTCAGACTTTTGATGCACGCCTGACTGAGCTTACAGATGAACAAGCCAAATACACGGGTTTGAGTAAATATGGCCCCTTCAAACCTAGTTACTACAGGTGATAAATGTGTTTAAATATTTGAATTAAATGATTGCATTTATTGATAAATAATGTGAAACATTTAACACCTGCTTTGTGTTTTTCTGTTTTTAGGTATTAAGATCATGGAGAAGTCTCAATGTAACTCGTCATAATTTAGAAGAAAACAGATGGATCTAAAGCTATGGATAGAAATAGATATGACTCAGCAAGGATTTAATTCATTCCACTCTTCACCAACACATGATATTACAGGCTTGATCATTAAGGGTCAGAGTGTACAAATGTAAAGTGAAATATAGCACTTTTTCCTCTTGCAATTGTACTGTAAACCATTTTAGAGGTGTCCATTCTGGTTGTATACGGCGTACATTATCATTATAACTTCCACAAAATAGATAAATACATCAAGGTAAAAGAAAATGCAACAAATTAACATAGTATGCTACAAGTATGTTATATACTCCCTTGCATAGTTCTCTAATAAAACTCTGTATTCTGCTATAGTTTGTTTACCTCAAAAAGATAAAACCTGACGGGCAAAAACAGTTTTTGCCGTGAATGACATATAACATTATTAAAACGCTGAACTTAACATTACACATGAAAACTGGAGACACAAACTGACAGTAGAGAATGGAAAAAGGGCTTGGTGAACTCACTTTGAATCTTCTGAACTCACTTTGAATCTTCTGATTTAGAAAGACCAGTAAGTGGTAAAGGGTAAGAATTATAGAGAACATCTGTCTTTCACTTTTGAAGTAGGGAAAAATTCCTCAATGTGCCTCTAGATGGAGGTAATGTAGAAGAGAGTAAAGCTTTGGCAAACAAGGCAAAGAATGAGAGGGATATTTGCTCATCTAGTGACAAGAATCTCGTTGGATCTCAAGTGGTTTGCAAGACTCCTAGGTGTCCAAGTAGTCTAATAAAGGTATTTCAAAGCAGCACGAACCTGTGCTTTCTGAAAGCTGTAGCTTTGAGTAAACAGTGTTGTGGTTTTCATGTGCTACCAAAGCTTCCTTTTTCTGTTACAAAATGTAAGTCTCTTACAAATATGGGTAACTGAGTTTTAGTTTACTACTGATATGCTGAAGTGAAGGTTTGGTAATAAGAAAGTCATCATTTTGTGTAATATTACTCTATTATATGAGAAAATGCTTGTATAAACAGAGAAATCAGGGCTCGACAATAAGGACTGCCCGATGGCCCGGGGGCCAGCGTGAAAGACGCTCGGGACAGTTGATGAATTTGTCACTGGCCGAATTTGTCACAGTTGACAAACTGCCATTGACAAATTGCCGTCACTGTCCACAATGCGCAAAATATTGGAAGAAAATCCTAAATATTGAATTGGGGGTAGGGTTTATATGAATGTATCTCTGAGGGGAACTGACTGTTTTCAGAAAAGTTTACATGGCGTTTTCTTTTAATTTTGTCTCTGTATAATGCATTTAAAGTAGTGTTAATACCCGCAGCACTGCTTTGTTTACAGCCGTAACAAAGGAAACGTCTCGGTTACGTATGTAAACCTTGTTCCCTGAAGGAGGGAATGGAGACATCACGTCGGTGACGACAAATTGGGATCTCGCTTAGAGAGACCAATCCACTTCGAGTGTAAACTAAACGAGCCAATGCACATTGAAATGGCAGAAGTCTGCCGGGGAAACACGGGCTCTGAGGCTATACCGTGGACTTTACACATATGGGATCCACTTAGGTCTCTACATATGGAACCCAGCCCTCTACCGGTTCTCATGGATTCAGCGAGTGAGGGCCTGGCGCCGGACGTTCCGCCACGTCTGGCTGCCGAGGGGATGGAGGAGCTCGACAGGGTCTACAGTACGGACACTCTGGATCAGTTTTAGCAAGCCGACACTAAACCGGGGCCTCTCAGTGCCTCTACCCATTTGAGGTGAGAACACAGGAGGATACCGGCTCCACACGAAGGCTATAGAATCTAGCGAACATGTTGGGGGTTGCCCAGCCCGCAGCTCTACAAATATCTGTCAGCAAGGCACCACGAGCCAGCACCCAGGAGGATGCAACACTTCTAGTAGAGGGAGCTCGCAACCTGAGCAGCAGGGCACACCCTGTGTCTGTGTCCTAAAGCTTTTTGTCTGGTCTACGTACCATCTCAAGACTCGGACGGGACAAAGCAAAGCTAGGGCTGGGTCTGCCTCCTCCGGGGGCAGTGCTTGCAGGTTCACTACCTGATCCCTGACGGGGGTAGTAGGAACCTTGGGCACATAGCCGGGCCGGGGGCCTCAGGATTACCTGGGAGTCAGCCAGCCCAAACTCTAAGCACGAATCATCGACCGAAAATGAGTGCAGGTCCCCTACCCTCTTGATGGAGGCCAGTGCAAGCAGGAGCAGAGTTTTCATTAATAGAAACTTCAGCTCAACTGACTAAAAAGGCCAAAATGGGCCCTGCTGTAGTGCTTTGAGCACTAGAGACAGGTCCCAAGAGGGTATAGAGG